ATACCATGTCAAAATAAGAGACGTAATTCAACAAGAAGATTATAAGTTTTCAATTCTATGCATAATCACAAAGGTCCACTTCCAACAATATTCTATTTAAATGGATGGAGTATGGCATCAATATAAATAAATATAGAAAAAGCGAGTCAAACTCTATGTCTTTATTTCGGAAAATGCTGTGTACCCATACGGGTGTCCATTAATCTTTATTCCAGAAAATGCTGCGTACCCGTAGGGATGTCCATAATGGACACCCGGTGCCCTCCTTTTCGGGGGAAGCCTATCAGCAACAGGCGCCCCCCCAATAGAGGGGCCTATGGGTACACTTATGTACCCATAGCACAACCCCTTTATTCCTCCCCTCTTCTGCTTCTTATGCAACTCCTCAAAGTTCGGCTGTGGGGACTGAAGATTACTCGCGACCCTATTTTGTCCAACCAAATAACCCTCTACTAGCTCCATTGTCGAGCTAACAATGAGAGACGAGCTTAAAGAAGGGCCAAGGCCTCTGCGCATATTAAGTAATCCTGCGGCAGCGACATCAGAGAGGATGGAAGTCCATGTATCATCCTTCTGCCTTACATATTTCATAGAACTCTCGAAGACAGACGTAAGACCGCCCCAGACGGCACAGTAGCTGGCACAAAGGGGGGCGTTCACGCGTACAGCTTGTAAGCCCCGGATGAAGCGCTCACCTTTAGGGGACATGTTAAAAGCCGACCCGCCAACGATTCCAAAGCAGAAAAAATCTCCAGTCTCATGCAGTAGGCGATCGAACCATGGTTTGTTACTTACCATTCTTGATTCTACATTCAATTAACTCCAATCAATTTGCATATAAATAACTAGCAAACTAACTCAAATTTAAACTACAGAAAATAACACAAAATTGGTTAATTGCAAAGTTTTATCAACATGTAAACGAAATTAATCTAAAAGAGTAAAAATCATAGACGTAACTAATCGGAAATTAAAAAAAAAACTTTTCATATATTTTAATGTCGAAAATTTGAAATTCACCAAAAATAAAAAACCTTAATTTCATACTTACATGTTCTTGTGCCGTCTAATTTGACTTGAAATTGAATATTTGGATTCTAAGGATTGCTGAAGCTTGGAGGGTTTTCAAACCTGAATGTGAAGATGGAAAAGTTAAATAAACAATCAGAAAAAAAGTGTTTTCAAATTACAGA